ACCAGTTTAAAATAAACAAAATAATAAAATGATAGTCTCCCCAAATTGATGTACATATGCAATACAATACTTCGCAAAATTCTAGCTGCCTTTGTTGCAGAGACTGACTTCATCCTAAAATTCATATGGAAAAAAACAAAAAATCCAAGATAGTCAACCTTGAAAAAAAAAAAACTAAACTAAGAAAAAAAGAAAAAAAGCTTGAGGACTCACACCAATTTAGAAAACTTACTACAAAAAATAAACCAAGCATTGTGGCGGGCACTTGTAGTCCAGCTACTTGGGAGGCTGGGGCAAGAGAATCACCTAAGCCCAGTAGTTGAAAGTTGCTGTGAGTTGTGGGATGCCACGGCACTCTACTGAGGGCGATAAAGTGAGACTCTGTCTCTTAAGAAAAAAAAAATTACTATAAACAAAAGTAATGAAGATCTTATAGTACAGTCAGTAAGTACAGACACAGAAATCAATGGAATAAAACTGAGAATCTAGAAATAAACCTTTGTATGTATGGTCAAATGATTTTTCAAAAAACTGTCAAAACAATGAGGAAAAAGTAGTCTTTTTAACAAATGTTACTAGGAAACAAGTATCTACATGGAAAGGATTGAAGTTAGACCCCTACCTCACACACTATATAAAAATTAACTTGGGCAGTGCCTGTGGCTCAAAAGGGTAGGGCACTAATCCCATATGCCGCAGGGGGCGGGATCAAACCCAACGCCAGCCAAAAAAAAAAAAAAACCAGCAAAAAAATAAAATAAAATAAAAATTAAACAAATAAACAAAAATCAACTCAAAATGGGTTGAGCATAATGGCCCAAATCTGTAATCCTAGCAACCTGGGAGGCCGAGGCACATGGATAGGTTAAGCTCAAGAATTACGGAGCAGAAGCAAGACCCTATTCCCTGCTAAAAATAGAAAAACTAGCCAGGCATTGTGATGCGTGCCTGTAGTCATCCCTGCTTGATAGGCTGAGGCAACAGGATTGCATAAACCCAAGAGTCTGAGGTTGCTGTAAGCTATGACACCCACAGCACTCTACCCAGGGCAAGAGTGAGACTGTTTCTAAAGAAGTAAACAAACAAACTCAAAATGGATCACAGACATACCACTGAGTATTACTCTGCCATAAAAAAAAAAAATGATGATCTTAATACCTTTTGAAACAACCTGGATGGAACTGGAGATAATTCTTTTAAGTGAAGTACTCCAAAAATGAAAAAACAAACACCACATGTGCTCAATTAAACTGGAATTAGTCCATCAACACTTATGTGCACATATGGAAGTAAAACTCAACAGAAATCAAGTACAGGGAACAAGGGTTTGGGTAAATTCACACTTAACTGATACAATGCACACATTCTGGGTAAAGGGTACACTTGTAACTTTGACTTAAAATGTACAAAAGCAAATTATGAAACCAAAACATGTATACCCTGATACTATTCTGAAATTTTTTTAAAAATTGGGTCACAGGCTTGATGTCTGTGGGTCAAGTGGCTAAGGTGCCAGCCACTACACCTAAGGTGGCGGGTTCGAATCCAGCCCAAGCCTGCCAAACAACATTGACAGCTGCAACCAAAAAATAGCTGGGCGTTGTGGCGGGTGCCTGTGGTCCCAGCTACTTGGGAGGCTGAGGCAGGAGACTCACTTGAGCCCAGGAGTTGGAAGTTGCTATGAGCTGTGATGCTACAGCACTCTACCCAGGTGACAACTTGAGGCTCTGTCTCAAAAACAAACAAACAAACAAAAAACTAACAATGGAGTGGAGTGGGGAATGGGTAGATGTACAGATGAAACAAAAATAGATACATAAAAGTTTGTTATACTATTTATACTATTCTATTCACCATGTACATGTTTGAAATTTTCCTTAATAAAAAGGTGTTTTTGTTTTTTTTTAAGACAGAGCCTCGAGCTGTCACCCTAGGTAGAGTGCTGTAGTATCACAGCTCACAGCAACCTCCAACTCCTGGGGTCAAGTGAGTCTCCTGCCTCCACCTCCCAAGTAGCTGGAACCACAGGCGTCCGCCACAATGCCTGGTTATTTTTTGGTTGCAGCCCCGCTATTTTTTGGTTGCAGCCATCATTGTTGTTTGGCAGGCCCGGGCTGGATTCGAACCTGCCACCTTAGGTGTATGTGGCTGGCGCCTTAGCTGCTTGAGCCACAGGCACCAAGCCAATAAAAAGGTTTTTTAAGTAAAGTATAAAAACAAAGTATTAAGAATTTTTTTTAATAACAAAGTAAACTAACATTCATTTTTGTTGTTTTTTGACACAGGAAGCAGACTCTTATATCTTAAAAAGATCAGAAAGGTCAACACTTCCATTATTCTTTCACAATGTTAAATGAAGACATGGCATAAAGTAAAATTAAGAATATCTCATCTTAAAATGTACAAAGAGGATTTGAACTTCCTTAGTTCTAAGGCAATTCCTTACCATTGAGTTCCTCTGGTTTCCATAGTTAATAAATGTGACAACTATACATGGCTGTTTAGATTTTAATTTTAATGAATTAAATTATAAATTCAATTCTCAGTCCCTTAGTGACACTTCTAGTGTTCAAAACCCACAAGTGGCTAGTGGTTACTATACCGGACACAGTTGTCACTGCAGTAAAGTTTTCTTGGACAGCACTAGCCTAATACATAAGAAACATCCACAGGGAAACTTCTACATTCCAATTTAGGGTTATAAACCAGATTTCATAGCAATAAACGAATTCTCCTGGAGAACAGTGTAAACAAAGCATAAAAATATCAACAAAGAAATATCTTTCACAGAAATATAGACTAAAGCATCAGCTGAGTTTTACTTTCAGAACCACCACCCTACTGATATTAGCCATGGCAACTCCTCATAGGCAAATTTACCCATCTGTTAAAATAGATTATTACTATAATGCCAGTTTCCTCAAGTCAGATACAAATTATCCTTTCAGTCAGAACTAATGAAAGAGTTTATAACCACAGAATAAAATTTCCTTCCTAACAGCTTTGAAGCAACAGGCATAAAGAACTATTAAACCCGTTTGTTTCATCTAGGAAAAAGGTCTAACCAGATAATTTCTATACATCTAGTTCTAACATGGTATATGTATTTAATCCTGGTAGTTATACTTTCGTTAATGCCCATTACCATAAACATGCAGGATCAGGAAACAGGTGCATTTCAATTCAAATATTTAGAACATTTTTAGCTCTTAAAAAAAAAACTAAAAGTGAACAAACTTTAAAATGTGAATTTAAATACATCTTTATATTTAGGAACAAAAACGTCAACCTGTATGTCCTCCCAAGTTATCACTGCAAATGCTTGCTATAAATATTTCAAATAGAATACTTTATGTTAAGAAATTTTAATTCATTGCAGTGCCTGTGGCTCAGTGGGTAGAATGTCAGCCCCATATACCAAGGGTGGCGAGTTCAAACCTGGCCCCGGCCAAACTGTAACAAAAAATAGCCAGGCATTGTGGCAGGCGCCTGTAGTTCTAGCTACTCAGAAGGCTGAGGCAAGAGAATCGCCTAACCCCAGGAGTTGGAGGTTGCTATGAGCTGTGACGCCACAGCACTCTACCAAGGGCAATAGAGTGATGTTCTGTCTCTACAAAAAAAAAAAAGAGAGAGAGAGAAAGAAATTTTAATTCAGCTCTTCCCTTGCCTAAAAACTACTATTCGCATTTTTAAAACCTTTGAAAAGGTCACCTAAGAATTTAAGTACAGTTTATTTTATCCACATTAAATACTTTTACATTCAACCGTCTTTGAAATTTACTGCCAAGAAAAGGAATTCCCAAGAGAGATGAAAACTTGGAAATTGAAACCAGACTGTATGTAGGCAAGGTACACAGGAGGGATCACATGGAATCGATCTGAAGGAGAAAGTTACTACTATTACCATTGGAGCATCTGGAGTCAAATCAGGCACTATTTACATATTTCTAGCTCTGTACTGACCTCAAATGGTTCTTTCCTATAAGTTATACACAGGCCTTACCTGCCTTTTCTTATTTGAATTAGTATTATATGGTTACTACCTTTAACCAAAGTTAAATGTTTCAAAGAATAACATTCCATAACCCTTTGCCATTGTTCATGAAACCTTACTGTTCATCAAATCACTCCAATAAATCCATCTGTTCCCTCTAATTGCTTCCAAAGAAAAATTCTAGCAATCAAGGACACCAGATTGTGAAACACATAGTTCTGGCACTACCGAAATATATTAGAAATCTTGGCAAATTAGTTAAAATTCCTTAAACCACAATTACCTCAGTTGTAAAAATGAATACAATACAAACCTACATCCCAGCAGGGATATGAGTTAGATTTAATTAAACAGACGAAATACCTGAGGGGGATTTTTTGGTGCACTCCAAATATAAGGAACCTGTCCCCCATCTCACTTTTCCTCCCACCTCTTCCCTTTAAGCTTTCAGGTTGGCTTCCAGGCTCCACTTCAGTGTTTCACTGATCCTCATACTCTATGAGCACTTACATCAGACCTCCCTTAGTCCAATTACACCACCTTCGGGTTCCAAGCCCCTACTTCCCTTTGAGCCCTCCTCCGATCCTAGGAAAGCCCTCTACCCTGCTCCCCACATCTCCCTCTGCCCCTGTTTCCCAACGGCTCCTCCTCTCGGTCCCCTCAAACACCAGGTCCACCCTGCACCTCCAACCGTCCCCCGCCCCGAGGTTCCTTCCTGCCCTCCAAATACAGCTTCCCCGTCTCAACGTTTTATCTGGTTCCTCCAACTGACTCCCCCACTGCCCTGCTCGCTCCTTTGGTCCCTATTTTCTCCAGCACTCAAATGACTACTCCTTCCCACCCATTCTTTTCAATATACACACACATGCAAAGGCACCCACATACAGGAGCCCCCACCCCCACCTCAATCCTCCATCTTTCCCTTTTATACTTGCTTCCTTTCTTCCTCCTTTCCCCCGCCCCCACCTCCTCCGGAAGAGTCGGTTCCCAGGCCAAGGTCTCTCACCTCATTCGGTCACTTCAGTGGTGCCAACCGCTTCATACAGGAAAAAACAACCAATCACGTCTCTGTGGGCGCTTCCCCTGCGAGTCCAAGTACTTACTGGGCACCCGCCCCACCGGGCAACCCGCACATACGCACGCACAAACTGAGGTCCTTGGGGACGAGGGCTGAGGGTAGAGAGAGCGTTCTTACACCGGTCTCAAACACAGCCCACTTCGCTACAGCCCTTCGCCATTTTGGTTTCCCGCGGACTGCCGGTGCATTCTGGGAGCGCGGAACGACTCCGGTGCCGAATGGCAGCTCTCCAAGGCCGCGGGGGGGCGGGGCCTGCGCGACGAGCGCGGAAGAACACCGCGTCCTGAGTCCCCGGCCGCGGCTGAACAAAGAAGGACTCTTTAACGTTGCGGTGGGGCTCGGTCCTTCCGCCGCCGGTGCTGACACAATAGTGAGTGCTGGGTTCCCTGACTGTCCGGCGGGCAGCGTTCTGTCGCTTGCGAAGGAGAGGGTCGTGTTCTGTTCGAACTTTCGGAGTGCATATCTGCTGCTGAGAAATAGGGCGGTGCTCTGTACATCTTGCTGGGCAGATCTCCTCTGCGTGGAGATAACCTTAGCTAAAGCACGTTTCTTTTACCTTCACCCCGAGGCCTGCTGTTAGAATTTCCTTCAAAGGGAAGGAGATCCAGTATGTCAGAATTAAATTTTGTTCAGCGGTTCCTGTCTAGTACTAAACTCCTTATCAGGAGCTGCTTATACGAAAGATTTTCAGACATTTTTTTCCTGACGACGATATGTTTTCTGTTTATCTCCTTTGCAGTCCTTCTTAATAGTAATGAAATCTGAGAATAATCCTTAGCAAAGTGGTTTATTGTAGGATTATAGAACTTTTTCTTGCCAGGACAGACCCTTACCCTGCCCAAAATGTCTCCTGCCTCGGGGAGTCCCAACAGACAGAGATTACATGTTTGTGTCTCTAACTTGCACGCAAATACAACACACATGGTACCCTTATAACTTTTTCAAAATATTTTTAAATCATTTTATATTTTTGTCCCCATATATTTATATCATGTCACATGATAATGCCATGTTTTATTTTCTTCCTGAAAAAGAAACTCTTGTCTAAACTCACTTTGTTTACACTTCAAAAGAGGTTCCTTCAGCTTGTGTTCTATGAATTTGGGGGAAAAAAATACTCTATCCATTACCATTCAGTAGAGTACCATTCAATACACAGGGTGCCAAAAAATGTGTACACAAGACAGGAAAACACTGTATTAAAATGGCAATACTCTGTGTACACCATGGAATACTATGCAGCCATAAAGAAAGATGGAGACTTTACCTCCTTCATGTTATATGGCTGGAACTGGAAAATGTTCTTCTTAGCAAAGTATCACAAGAATGGAAGAAAAAGGCTCGGCGCCTGTGGCTCAAGCGGCTAAGG